ATGACCCGGGTTAGGAATTGGTCTTCAGAAACCCATGCTTTTTCGTAAGAAACGACTAACAGGATCGGGTGGGTCAGGCTCGCTTACTTGATTTACATGTCATCCTGTCCCAGTTGCGTAGATCGATGTTCATGTTGTTGATCGCTGGATTATCTGGTCCAGACTCGATTATTTACATACTGCCGCCATATAGCTACAGCTAATGCTGGTGCGGCGTAAAACTAAAACTCACTCACTCAATCGTTGCTGAATTAATCCAACTCAAAATCAGATTTGGGAATGTGGAGTTATCCCTCTTATACCGATCGTCATTGCACACTGCGCATTTCAGGCAAACAAGTTATATCAGTTCACAAATTTGGCTTGAGTTTTAACGGTATTCTCAAGATGTAGATCTGTTAGATTTCGGGATCGGTAACCTACTACTATATATACTTTACGCGTTAAAGGACTGATTTTATAGAAGGATCAAATTGGAATAAAGATCAGATTTTTAATGTCTTATGTTTAAGGTGCGGCTTATGCGGGGAAGAAATAGACATCACAATCATTGCCCAGAACTTCCTCAAGCCCCCGCTCTTCAACTACACCGTGAACGTGCACGGCGAACCACAGAGTGAGCTGATCTACTTCCTGCAGAGGGCGGCAGACATCGATAAACATCTCAGGTACAATATATACACCTCACGTACAATATAAACACATCGGGTACAATATAAACACCTCTCGGGTATAATATATACACCTCGGGTACAATATAAACACCTCGGGTACAATATATACACCTCAGGTACAATATAAACACTCGGGTACAATATATACACCTCGGGTACAATATAAACACCTCGGTACAATATATACACCTCAGGTACAATATAAACACCTCGAGTACAATATATACAATATACCTACGTACAATATAAACACCTCGAGTACAATATATACACCTCAGGGCAAATATAAACACCTCGAGTACAATATAAACACCTCAGGTACAATATAAACACCTCGAGTACAATATATACACCTCAGGTACAATATATACACCTCGAGTACAATATATACACCTCAGGTACAATATATACACCTCGAGTACAATATATACACCTCAGGTACAATATAAACACCTCGAGTACAATATATACAACTTGAGCATTAATTATTGTTGTTTACCTTAGATTACAGTTAATCAGCTTAAAAGATTATGTAGTATATTATTCGGGTGTGTTGGACAGAACAAAACAGAGTTCTATTCTCGTAAATCACGCTTATTAAGTTATTGTAGTTTACCTTAGATTACAGTTAATCAGCTTAAAAGATTATGTCGTATATTATTCAGGTGTGTTGGAGTGGTTGGACAGAACAAAACAGAGTTCTATTCTCGTAAATCACGTACATATTAAGTATTGTAGTTTACCTTAGATTATAGTTAATCAGCTTAAAAGATTATGTCGTTTATTATACAGGTGTGTTGGAGTGGTTGGACAGAACAAAACAGAGTTCTATTCTCGTAAATCACGTACATATTAAGTATTGTAGTTTACATTTGATTACAGTTAATCAGCTTAAACGATTATCTCGTTTATTATACAGGTGTGTTGGAGTGGTTGGGCAGAACAAAACAGAGTTCTATTCTCGTAAATCACATACATTCATAGTTATATTCATAGTTACATTTGCTAAAAATTTCATTGGATCGTATTGTTTCTGATGAAACATTTCCAGGCCAGCTTTAATATGTCTATCATGTGGCCAAACCGTTACAATTGTTACCTCCCTTGGTCACGCCAGTAACCAGTGATTGTGGAATAGTTACTTAGTTACTTTCTGAGACTTTTCTGCTATAAATGGATAACTGATACTGCGAAAAAAGGATTTAAAACCAGCTCACTTATTCATTTAGCTTGCACGAGTGAGTATGGTTTTACGCCGCTTTTAGCAATATCCCAGCAAAATCACGGCGGGGCATCATACATAGCCTTCGCACATTGTACCCATGTGGGGAATCGAACCCGGGTCTTTGGCGTGTCGAGCGACCCTTTACCCACTAGGCTACCCCAGTACTTCAGTGAAACCCACGAGATGTGTTGCTAACAAACCTATAAACAGGGCGAACGGGGATTCGAACCTATGATCACAGGTTTCTATCACACTAAAGGGACGTCACTCTGTACAACGAATCGTGGGGTCTTTGATGACTGTGTAATCTATTATTCCAATAGAATCATTCTATTTTTAATTTCAGATTTACAATCACTTACTTCGGTCCTGTCTTGGGCTACTTTGTCAACTCAATCAACAATCTGGAGGGAGATTATGCTGAAAACACGTCCTGGCGGGTGACGGATGTTGACTTCAACTCCCATAAATTGGGTAATTACAAGTTTTATAAGATAAAGTCCCTAGCACCAGGTACACAATTACAGGGTTGCTTCCCTTGGCACTGGTGGATGTTCGTGATTCGTCACTGACCTTTAAATGTCCTTGACACTGTTTAGAGTGAATGATTTTAGTTTTACGCCGCTTTTAGCAATATTCCAGAAATATCACGGCGGGGGACACCAGAAATTGGCTTCACACATTGTACCCATGTGGGGAGTCGAAACCGGGTCTTCGGCGTGACGAGCGAACTCTATAACCACTAGACTACCCCACCGCCCCTGACACTGTGTAGAGTTGTTTGTTTGTTGTATAACGTCGCATTCAGCCGATTCAAGCGATATGGCGACGGTCTGAAAATAATCAAGTCTGGACCAAACAATTCAGTGAGCATGAGAAATTGAGATCTACGCACAGGGGCGGTGGGGTAGTCCAGTGGTTAAAGCGTTCGCTCGTCACGCCGAAGAACCTGGTTCAAATCCCCGCATGGGTGCAATGTGTGAAGCCTATTTCTGGTGTCCCCTGCCGTGATATTGCTGGTATATTGCTAAAAGCGGCGTAAAACCCAACTCACTCACCCACTCTACGCAATTGTGATACGATGACATGTGTCAGCTAAGTCGGCGAACATGACCATATTGTGGAGAAACGTAGATGTTTCTCATCGTATCATCCATGGCACGGTGTAGATAAGTAGATATTTGTCACATTAGTGTCGTGGTACGGTGTAGATAAGTAGATATTTGTCACAGTAGTGTCGTGTTACGGTGTAGATAAGTAGATATTTGTCACATCAGTGTCGTGTTACGGCGTAGATAAGTAGATATTTGTCACAGTATTGTCGTGGTACGGTGTACATAGGTAGATATTTGTCACATCAGTGTCGTGGTACGGTGTAGATAAGTAGATATTTGTCACACCAGTGTCGTGGTACGGTGTAGATAAGTAGATATTTGTCACATCAGTGTCGTGGTACAGTGAAGATATTTGTCACAGTAGATATTTGTCATCAGTGTCGTGTCGTGTTACGGTGTAGATAAGTAGATATTTGTCACATCAGTGTCGTGATACGGCGTAGATAAGTAGATATTTGTCACATCAGTGTCGTGGTACGGTGTAGATAAGCAGATATTTGTCACATCAGTGTCGTGTTACGGTGTAGATACGGAGATATTTGTCACAGTAGTGTCGTGGTACAGTGTAGATAAGTAGATATTTGTCACAATAGTGTCGTGTTACGGTGAAGATAAGTAGATATTTGTCACATCAGTGTCGTGATACGGCGTAGATACGGAGATATTTGTCACAGTAGTGTCGTGGTACAGTGTAGATAAGTAGACATCTGTTACAGTAATCTCGTGTTACGGTGTAGATACGGAGATATATTTCACAGTAGTGACGTGTTATGGTGTAGATACGGGGATATATTTCACAGTAGTGTCGTGTTACGTGAAGATATGGAGATATTTCACGCAGTAGTGTCGTGTTACGGTGTAGGTAGGTAGATATTTGTCACAACAGTGTCGTGGTACAGTGTAGATACGGATATATTTGTTGCAGTAGTGTCGTGTTACGGTGTAGATACGGACATATATTTCACAGTAGTGACGTGGTACGGTGTAGATACGGAGATATATTTCACTGTAGTGTCGTGTTACGGTGTAGATACGGAGATATATTTCACGGTAGTGTCGCTGTACGATGTAGATACGGAGATATATTTCACAGTAGTGACGTGTTACGGTGTAGATACGGAGATATATTTCACTGTAGTGTCGTGTTAAGGTAGATAAGTAGATATTTGTCACATCAGTGTCGTGATACGGCGTAGATAAGTAGATATTTGTCACATCAGTGTCGTGTTACGGTGTAGATACGGAGATATTTGTCACAGTAGTGTCGTGGTACAGTGTAGATAAGTAGACATTTGATACAGTAATGTCGTGTTACGGTGTAGATACGGAGATATATTTCACAGTAGTGACGTGTTATGGTGTAGATACGGGGATATATTTCACAGTAGTGTCGTGTTACGTGAAGATATGGAGATATTTCACGCAGTAGTGTCGTGTTACGGTGTAGGTAGGTAGATGTTTGTCACAACAGTGTCGTGGTACGGTGTAGATACGGATATATTTGTTGCAGTAGTGTCGTGTTACGGTGTAGATACGGAGATATATTTCACAGTAGTGACGTGTTACGGTGTAGATATTGAGATATATTTCACGGTAGTGTCGTGGTACGATGTAGATACGGAGATATATTTCACAGTAGTGACGTGTTACGGTGTAGATACGGAGATATATTTCACTGTAGTGTCGTGTTACGGTGTAGATACGGAGATATATTTCACAGTAGTGACGTGTTACGGTGTAGATACGGAGATATATTTCACAGTAGTGACGTGTTACGGTGTAGATACGGAGATATATTTCACGGTAGTGTCGTGTTACGGTGTAGATACGGAGATATATTTTACAACAGTGTCTTGGTACAGTGTAGATACGGAGACATTTGTTACAGTAGTGTCGTGTTACGGTGTAGATACGGAGATATATTTCACAGTAGTGTCGTGGTACGATGTAGATACGGAGATATATTTCACAGTAGTGACGTGTTACGGTGTAGATACGGAGATATATTTCACGGTAGTGTCGTGGTACGATGTAGATACGGACATATATTTCACAGTAGTGATGTGTTACGGTGTAGATACGGAGATATTTTTCACAGTAGTGACGTGTTACGGTGTAGATACGGAGATATATTTCACAGTAGTGTCGCTGTACGGTGTAGATATCGAGATATTTCTCGCTGTAGTGTAGTGTTACGGTGTAGGTAGGTAGATATTTGTCACAGCAGTGTCGTGTTACGGTGTAGGTAGGTACATATTTCTCGTAGTAGTGTCATGTCATAGTGTAGATACTAGTTATTTCTGACAGTAGTGTCGTGTTACGGTTTTACATAAGTAGATATGTCTCACAGCAGTGTCGTGTTACGGTTTCCATACGTAGATATTTCTCATAGTAGTATCGTGTTACGGTTTCCATACGTAGATATTTCTCATAGTAGTGTCGTGTTACGGTTTCCATACGTAGATATTTCTCATAGTAGTGTCGTGTTACGGTTTCAATACGTAGATATTTCTCATAGTAATTATCTACACATTTGTCTGTTGTCGTTGTGTCACCTGCCGCTGATGGGTCTGTTTCAGGCGTCAGCCACCACATCCCAAACCACCATGACACCATCATCTTCTCCTTTACCAACGAGACGTACACTTCAGAAGAAGCGAACATATCCGGCAAAGACTGAATAAACTGACTCAAAATCTGAAAACATTCATAGGACATTTTTGGAGGCCATACTCGCCAACCAGGTGTACCCCGCTGACATTCATTCATTCATTCATTCATTCATTCATTCATTCATTCATTCATTCATTTTCCTTCGATATATATATATATAGCTTGAGTATTACAGAATGTGGGGTTCAACAGAAACAAACAGTACCCTAGAAACAGATAACTCTTTCAGATACTATTGAAGCTTTGTCTTGGTGCCCGTGATGATCTGGCTGAGTATTTCTTAAGGCAATATGTACAACGGTACTACTATACCATATAGGGGACGCAAACCGAAACATGAGTCTCATTAACCTATTCAGACAATGACCTACGTTTCAGCCGATCCGAATTATCTCGTGTGAAAGTGAAAATAAACACCACAAACAACTATGGTTACACTGAATTCAAATTCCTTATTTCATAAAAAATGGTATCTACAAACAAATTTTAATTTTAAACTTTAATAACATCGTATTTCTATATTTTATGGCGAGGTGTAGGCAGCATGACCTTAACTGAGACGTCACAGACTGCCCCTGTTTGATGAGGTCGTAAAATGATTCACAATGCATCTGACTCACTGGTTACACCTGTTATGCGTTTTTGGGCGCTTATTCAGTGTGGTCCTGTAACGCGAAATGTGATTGATAAAATATCAATCCCGTACCAGACCGTCAAACTTTTCTAGCGGCAGAGCCTCGTTTTGAGATTTCTTGTTTTCCGTTTGTCAGAGCTCGCTGTACGACAGAGCAGGCTGCACGACGTGTTTGCAAGTCATAGAAGGAGCGTAGTGTTGCAATATACAAGTGCTTAGATGTATCATATAATACTGATTAATATTTATGTATCCTGCTAAATGAATTGGTCTGAAAATTCTGGACTGGTTATTGTACTAAGTTGCGCAATAGGACGGTTCCCAGTCAAGAGGAAACGAGACTGTTGTGTAATCAATGTTTTGATTTGTAAACCCCGCCTCGCCTCGCCTCACCTCACCTCACCTCACCTCACCTCACCTCACCTCACCTCACCTCACCTCACCTCACCTCACATCACATCACATCACATCACATCACATCACATCACATCACATCACATCACATCACCGCAACTTTTATGATGAGTGAGTTTAGTTTCATACCGCTTTTAGTAATAACAAAACGGAGGACACCAGAAATGGGCTTCACACATTGTACCCATATGAGGAATCGAACCCAGGTCTTCGGCATGACGATCGAACGCTTTTAGCACAGGGATACCCCACCGTCCCACAACTTCTATAAAGGAGGAAACGTTTTTGATCGATTTAGTGTCTTCGTATAGTATGTTATATTGACTGCTCTCGGTAAATGTGTATTTGAGACTGAGGGATCAGTTTTGGAAGATTCCATTGTTGGGGAAGCGAATTAACTAGGATTTGATGTCGTTATTGGTTATTGAATTGCATTAAGCCACTCATGCATTTTTTTAAAACAAATATTAATACAATGTGTATCTGCTGTCTATTGATTGATGGCTACACAAATATTGATACTTGGTGTGTCTTTCATCAATTGATCGATTAAAGGAGGAGTTTAGACAGGGCAAGTATAGTGGCTGGCGTCATCTGCCTTCTGGGGATTAAAACATTTGAAATTGAAAAATTACTGTTACAGTTTTAGGATATGTTTGTTGGAGCATGTAACGACAAACAACTTGTGCAGCGTACTATTCTTGCGTTGTTTGAAATCATGTAAATTTGGCAAATCACTGGACTTTAAGTACATTTGTGTTTATACAATTATTCTGCATTCTCCGTTTTACATGACTGAATGAAACAATTTTGAAGATATTTTTACAGTACACTACATGAAATCTCACTTCAAACGTGCATCGCCAATACGGAACATAGTGAAAATCGTGAAAAGAGACTCTTCTTATTCCTGGTAGATAAATATTTCCTGCAATATAGTAGCTTAGTGGTAAAAGCGAAGACCCGGGTCCGATTCCCCAAATGAGTACAATGTGTGAAGCCTATTTCTGGTGTCCCCTGCCGTCATATTCCTGGAATAAGCAAAACTCACTCACTCCTGCAATCTGGGTTTGTCGAAAGAGGCGATAAAAACGATCCGCTGGACCACCTCGGTAACTCGTCTCTCATTCGTGGTTGTCTGATCAAAGCATTGACTTTATTGGGTTTCTTAGTTAGACACATTATTTATGCAGCTGAGCGAACTATAGTCATGCCAATAATGGTTTTCAACCCCCTCCACACCCCAACCCCACACACACCTCACACCCCAACCCCTTCTCCAATTAAAAAAATTGAAAGGGGTGACAACCATTATTGGCATGAGTATATGATCTACACTGACGTGCAAAAGAAAGTATACACATGGTGTTTGGGGATTTAAAAAAAACCCACGTAAATATATTTATATCGTTTATTTATTGACAAACATGAAACTCACAAACAGTGTGTATGTGCTGAAGGTAGAGATTATTTTGAAGTTTGTAAACAAATGTTTGAGAGGTGACGAGGATTGCTCAAGCGGACGATAATCATCGTGTGGGGTCATTACATTGACATCAGACACCTCAAAATATACTGAGTCAAAAAAGAAACTTCACAAAATGTAATTTGAAAAATAATGAATAATTTTTCTCTGATGATACATCTATGTATCCGAAATGGGATCCCTATCTTTCGACTCTAGAAAAACGTTAGCAAAACCCACTCAAACCCATCCATTCGTCGAGGAAAATGACGTTAGTGCCAAGTCAGGTTTTGCATGTGCAGTAGATCAAGTGATCTTCGCACCGAAGTTTTCTTCATATGCACGTGTTTGCATTGGCCTCAAGAATTGAAAAAACACTTTTAAACCTCAGTTCTAACGGTACTTGAAATGCCACGATTGTCAAATGTGCAACGTGAACGTGCCGTTGGCATGTTGCAAGCGGGAAGATCAGTTACTGACGTCGCAAGAGCAATGGGATGCAGCCGTCGTACTGTGTATGACTTGCGAGGACGTCTACAACAAACTGGCACCACTTCTGATCGCCCAAGGTCGGGTCGTCCACGTGTGACGTCACGAGCAGAAGACCGTCAAATCGTCCTACGTCACCTACGTGACAGATTTCTGCCGGCTACACGAACCAGGGCTGAGATGTTTAGAGGTCGACTGTCCTCACAGACCATTCGAAATCGCTTGCGGGCTGCCAATCGCTGTTCCAATAGCTGGTCTCGACGCCGTTTCATCAACGTCAACGTCTGCTGTGGGCCCAACGTCACCTCCGATGGACCCAGAGAGACTGGAATCGAGTCGTCTTTAGCGATGAATCCAGGTTTACCCTCAGATTCGCGGACGGCAGGCATAGAGTCTGGAGACGACGTCGTGAACGGTATGCCCAATGTTGTGTACAGGAAGTCGACAGATTCGGGGGCGGAAGTTGCATGGTGTTGGGTGCTTTCTGTGGGAACAACCGTTCCCGATTTCTGGTCATCCGTGGAAACCTCACAGCTGCTGCTTACCGCGACCAGGTGCTCACCCCTGAACTCGTTCCTTTCATGGCGGCTTATGGCCCAGATCTACAGTTCCAGCATGATAATGCTCGGCCGCATACCGCGATGTTGACACGAAATTTCCTTCAAAACGCTGGAATCAACGTCATGGACTGGTCATCGAGGTCCCCTGACCTTAATCCAATAGAGCACGTTTGGGATGCACTTGGGAGAAGGCTTCGTGGTCTTAGGAACCAACCTCAGAATTTGCAGGAACTTGGCGCTGCCTTGCAAGAGCAATGGCGCAGAATCCCCAGCCACGTGTTCACAAGTATCAGGCAGTCGATGAGGAGACGGGGTTTGGCAGTGGTGAATGCGCGGGGCAGCCATACACAATATTGAACTGAGAAATTTCGCATTTCTATTCTTGTGACTTGACATTCTGTATACCCATGTTTTGGAACGGCGGTGTAGCCTAATGGAACTGATTATGGCATTGTCAGTGTATCGAGTACATCACACAGATCTCAGCAATGAAATAATAACAATTTAACCATCTTACCATCTCTTGTATTTTTAAAGTGCCCTGAAGAAAGAATGTGAAGTTTGTTTTTTGACTCAGTATACATTAACTCACATTACAGAGAATGGACGTCCTGCTTTGGAAAATGTATACATGTTATAAAATATCTATGGGTTTTTGAGTTCCAGCAGATGTGATCTAAAACTGAAGCATAAAACCAGAAACAAAGCCAAAACAAAACCCGAAAGTAAACAATAAGGAAGTAAAAGGGGAAAGTTAGTGAGGGAAAATTAAACCGGGGGGAGAGGAATGTGAGAAGTCAAGCAAGGGGAAGACTGACTGACTGACTGAGTTTGGTTTTACGCCGCTTTTAGCAATATTCCAGCAATATCACGGCGGGGGACACCAGAAATGGGCTTCACACATTGTACCCATGTGGGGATTCGAACCCGGGTCTTCGGCGTGACGAACCAACGCTTTAACTACTACACTACCCCACCGCCACGCAAGGGGAAGAAAATGCCTGAATGAAGAAAAATCCAGAATAAGTAAAGAAACTAACACCAGAGTGAAGAATGGAGATGAAAATTAAAACTCAGTGGAAGTTCGGCAAGGAAAGTATGACCCAATGAAACTGAGATAAGGGAAAGTAGGACAAGACAAAGTAGGACGAGGGAAATCAAGGTGAAGGAAAGTAAATCTGTGGGCGCACTTTACAACTTTGTTGTCAGTGAGCAAGTTGATGTTTTACGTCGCATCAGTGTTCTCATTTATGATTATCATCCAAAACTGTGTTCCACCGGAGATATTGCTTGTGAGAGATCAAACGATATCCCCTAGATTTTGTACAATGCCCTGACGTCATCATTTACGTGACTCACAATGCAATGACGTCAAAACCCTAATGACGTCGCATGCTATGACGTCATAAACCTGATGAATGCTACGAAATAGCTGCACTGCAAGTCTAATGGCAGTACCGTGTTCAGAG